ATCTGTACAATCGTTTCTTCACTGCTATTACAGAATGTACATAGGTTATCTATAACTAAAAAATAGTTAAGAAAAATAATATTGCTTCGAAAAAGATTACTCTACTCTAATGGCTGAAGCCAAATAATTTTCTGTTTGGGGAGAATATTCATATTTGATCAACCAGGTAATTGATGATTAATGTAATTGGCAATTATTTCATTTTTGTTTACATGATAAGATGATGTCTTTGACTGAACAATGATATTGTGATAATGAAGCTATTTCAAATTATTGTCGTGATTTTGACTTGCAAGATTGTGTCAGTTTATTTTGTAACGTGAAACATATATATAAAACGATTGTGAGGTCACTTATATTTTTTTCTTTAATTGGATCATCAATCGTTTAGAATTATTCAAATAAATTGTTCTGATAAAAGACAAAGAAGATGTAAGTAAAACCACATGAAGAAAGGATAGGTTATGCTTTCAACACAACAGAACAGCATGAGTACGGGCTTTAAACAAATTCACCTAAACCAACGGAAATGTTAATCCTAAAATGACTCAAGATTACAGGTTAAACGTTCCGGTCACGCCCATGATACAAGAAGGTTTCCCTATATAGCGGTACTATATGAATAGGCCAACTTTGTTCAAGAAAATAACATGTCGTCATGGATGATGACTGGATACCCTGATACACGGTAGCATGTAACCCCCGTCACTGGAACAGAAAAGCTTGCATGTCACGTGTGCATGGTGTCAAAAACAAAAGCTATATTAATTGAGTGTTTGTTAGGTGTAGAGCATCCTCGGGCAATCTCATGATAATAACATGCCACACTGATAGTACAAGTCGTCTCAAGTAATTCATAGAGTTGTGGACTTCCCTTGCAAGCCTTGAAACGGGAAGCGATTAATCTTGTCTTGACATTAGACGCGCGGCTAGTCGGTCGAACCGAGTGGGGGTGCGTAGCGATCGAGCCGGTGTCTCTCTCTACCTCACGGCGTCGGCTGCGGATGGGCTTCCGATGCCTAGCCGAGAGGATTCCGAGAAACATGTCTACGGTTCAAAATAGAAGTTTCTCTCCTCGAAACCTCGTCCATATGACGAAGCAAAAAGCAGCCAAATGGAGAAAGTACGGGAAAAATTTAATCACGAAAGAATTATAAGAATGTACCCTGGCTAATAATAGATGCTTTGGTGTAAAACAATACTCGACCATTTTGTATTATGTCGTGAATTAAACACATCGGGATTCTGAAAAGCATTTTTTTTCCCTTCATTTTTTCATTTAATAATAATAATAATAATTATATTTGCTTATATAGCGCCTAACACTTACTTTATCAGAAGTCTCTAAGCGCTCTACAATAATGCAGCATAATTACATTTATTAGAAATGCATTTTGTGTGGTTCAGTCTAGGTTAAGAACACAATTCTTTTTCTGGGAAGGTGTATTGTCTAGGAATATTAAAAGTCATTATTTGTTACTATACATAAAACTTCAGGATGAAGAGGCGGGATGGGCAAACATAATTTATAATGTACATAGATACAAAGGTATTCCTGTAATTATTGCGGTGAGCCTTACCTGTCTGATGTAATACAACACGTAATTATCATCATTATATCGATAATTGCTGGTATATTACAAAATTATTCTGGTTAATGAGTCAATGAATAGCCAAGTACTTAAAAGGATATCATGTACCATGTGTACTGGTGTTCCTAATGTTCTTGACCCCATTATTATCCCTATCTTATTAATCCAACAAATAAAATAACATGCAATAATTACACAACAGTTTTTTCGGATATTACAGATCATCGTTACTTAATTCTGAAGATCACGAAACGTGATAAAGAAATTCAATTCAAAGGAATTTTACCTGATATGACGTCATGATTATAGGGGCGATTTCTTTTTCTTCTTCTCCAAAGAACAATCGAATTAATCGCTCTGACAATAACACCAATAAAGCCCGCCTGAAATGGACACTGCTACAAGTTGGTGTGTTTCTATAAAACAGTAGCAGCAGTACGTCATTGTACAGGAACACCTGTCAACGCATGCTTTCATACGCGTCTTGAATCTAACTTGGTGTAACTGTTCTAGAGAGAGGGCCGTCTGCTTGGTTGAGAAGCAAAGAGACTATTAAGCCATTTAGATATTCACTGAATTTAATATGTATCGTTCTTATTCTGAATGATTAGCCGTGCAATGCGTTACTAGGGCGATGTGTCCGAAAATCCGGGGGTGGGGGCGAACGGAATGTTTGCAAAAACCGCCAGTCTAAGGTATTTGGAGGGTGTGATATACTCTTTAAAAACGGTTTCATGGTGAAGATCCACTCTTTAAAGAGATCACTATGTTTTAGGGTGGAATTCAAGCTCTTGTGTTTTTCTATAGAGCGCTTAGGGACATGTTTTAATACTATGTGTTATGCGCTATACAAGAACGGTTAATTATTATTATTATTAAAAAGTAATTAAAAACAATATTTTAGAGTGGATTGACTCCTCGGCACAAAAGAGTACAGCGTCTAAATATATTTGGTTCCGATGTAGGAGGGGGGGGGGGGGGCGGGCAGGGCCGACCCTCTCCATGTGGATCCACTTCTAAGTAGATGAAGGGAAAGCATGGGGTGATAAACTCTTTCCCAATAAAACGAAGCCTCGTGACTGAACACTCGCGCCCTCTCATCAAGTCATGTAGAACATTTAGAATTGGACCTGACTGAGACACGTCTCTGTGTTCGACCTACCTATGACCTTCACCCCAGTCATGACCTTGAACAGGGTATCTTCTACCATGGTGTCAGTGTGGCACTCCTAGGGTGGAACATGGTCCTTACCGGTCCAATCTGACGGTCGTTCACTCATCGTAATCTCACACTTGTTCTCATACCATGCATGCATGGGTTCATTGCCATGAGAGTGTCTTGACTTGCATTCATCATGGCGATGGAGATATAGGATTCAGCTGGCACTGCTACAACCATGTACAGGAATGCTACATGGAAAGTGTTCTGTATGATGTAAACTCGAACTCAAGGACACACCTCCTTTGTGAATTCGGGCCAAGAAGTTCTTTACAGATACCGCGTTATTTTGACAAATTTAAAATGAAATAGCGTATTACTGTTACAATTTATTGACCAGTTACTAAGTGAACCCTTTAACGTACCACTGATGTCATAATGCATAAAATGTTTAAAGGTCTTATTTTGAAACCTAATAAGTCTTGTAACCAAAATGTGAGTGGCATTTTATATTTTTTCCGTTAATGATTTGGTATAATTTTGTATTTTGAATGAAACTGTCATAGTTTTAGTTTGACATGATGCTTTGGGTGTCGTATGGAATATTATTGCAGTTTGTCATTTTGTGTTGATGATAATCAAATTCAGTATCGTAATAAGTTGCAGCGTAATGTTGATAATCGATTTCTAGGACCACACCCTTTAAACATGATCGATGCTCCAATGTAGTCTGATGAAAAATATATTGTTGTTTTTGTCATATCGTTCATGATAGAATTTTGTTGTTGAATGTAATAAAATCGTTCCAATTTTTGGCTCTTTGCCAGGACACGTCTGAAGAAGGTGTCTAAACCATAGACCGTTAAACACCTTTCGGATGTTTCATAGATCAAGTTTGTAATCATTAAGCAAATATAATTAATTTGGTAGGAAACAAACATTGAAAACAAAAACGATTTAATTAATGAGAATGAAATGAGTGCAACCAACCAAATTCCATTAACTATTAAAACAAACAAGGCATTTTGTGGGGGTACATTGTGAGAAAAATATTGACCACTTTACCACATTCAATTACTTTAGGTTAATAAGTTGACTAAATGTATTGTGTATAGCTGGCTTTATGCTTGTAATACAACAACAACAAATCTATTTGTTGTGTGGGCCTCAATTACTGTTGCATTGGAAGTATAGTATGACTGACTGTATGTAAATAAAAATTCTCCATTCAACAAGTGAAGCGTTAAAAATATATAGGCCTATATAAAAAAAAAGTACCTATCAAATCCTTGGTCATTATGACGTGAAGTTCACATATCAAACAATAAAAATAAGAAAAAATGATAGACACAAGCAGTTACGGCAAAAATATTCTCAAAGTTGTATACAAACTTGCAAAGAATAAAATCAATAGGGTCTACTGATATAATATTCATCTAATATTAATAAAAGGAACATAGATGCAAGCTAATGGCATTCTGAATTCGTTATTTTGTGTAACCACTTTTTCCCGATGTCTCAAAGTGCCCTGCATATTTTATTCATCTATGTGATAATGTTACCATTTCACTAGACAGAAAATTAAAAGTCGATATCATATTACAACTCTTGAACACGAATTCGGATGGAGTCCAATATGTATCTCCCACTCATTTCACAGAGTGACGTATTATATAGCCTAGGTATAGCACAGTACAGCGATGAGTAACATACGACCATGCATAAAGACTACTCCAGCACTGAGTAAGCATTAGTCAATCATATTGGAATGTCTACAGCCTTCGAACAGAGGCAGATAGTCTTCTACCTTATCGTTCCATTTGTAGGTACGAGGAAATCATAAAATATAGACATAATTTGAACAATAAGAGGGTTTTTGTTTTATTCGTAAAAAAAGTTTGCTTTACAGTTTGATACGTAAATACAACAACACTGCACTTGCCACGCATTATGCATAGCCTTTTACTTCGAATCCTCTTACCATCTCTGCACTTTGCTCGGAAACATCCATCAATAAAATAGGGGAAATAAGGAAATAGGTACTAGAATTAAGAACAAAGAAGGCTATTTGATGAACGTCATTATGATTTAAAAGATCAAATAATAAAATAAAACTAAAATTTATAAGAAAATTGGCTGAGATAGTTAAAGAAAATGATTGAACAAAGCCAATAGACAACATGTTACCACCCCTATTAATAGAAATGGACTCGCCTACCCCGAAATCGACTGCCGCCAATCACGGCGTTATTGTCTCTGACGTCACAATTGTGGGGGTGGTTATGTTAATACAGGTTCGAGTCATCAATGAATGAGCTCGTCATAGCATGCATGCACACAGCGGCTACAACACGAGAACCTTTCTTCAATAAATTCCAGTAAATGTTGAACGGACCAGCTGTAGTAGTTGAGCACGCGTGCTGAGAGCGTTGCACTTGTTCGTTTCGTTGGGAATTTACAGATCGACATTATTTTGTAGTGTCACTCAAAAGATACACAATCAGACAATCAACCATTTTACGGATTCCAGACCAGAAAGTGGAAAAATTATTATCTTGTAATTATTTATTTCTTGATTCTTCGTGTGAGGATACACTTAACCAATACCGATGTCAACTATGCCCAGAGTAGTTCCTGATCAGAGGAGCAAGTTCGAGAATGATGAACTATTTAGGAAGTTGGGTCGCGATTCAGAGGTGAGTACATTATTATTATCATTCATAAAAATAGTATTTCGCCATCAAAATCAATTAACTTCTATTCCTTAACGTGTTTCCCTCACACATTTGAATGGGGCCAAAGTGCACATGGCAAAAATCTTTTTCTTTCAATAGAGAATAGAATAATTCCACGCGGTGTATTGTGATGTAGAAAACGAAACATATGTAATACCGCATGATGATGATGATGATGAATATATTCGGTATGTGGTACACTGTTGTACTGGCTTGTTCCGCTTGGCAAAGTTCCATTGCTGATTGCGTAATTTGTAAACTCCGACCCGCAATACAAAAACACAATGTTTTCCCTTCCGCGAATTTACGGCTTCAGGTCAATGACATGTAACAATGGTATCAGAGTTTTTTGAGGAAAAGGTAAACACCATACTACTCGTTGACTATTAGTATTACAAGTCCACATAATATTGTTTGGTATACCCTAAACTGCCATTTCGCACGTAAAATAGACGTGGGTGGTTCGTTGGAGAGATTGTTTAGCAAGAAAATGTATACATCCCGGTTGTATATTCATCCGCAGTGTATGATGACAATAACATCCTGGCTGATCATTATGAAGGTTAAAGTTTTAAATTACAAAATCATAAATGTATTTTTAAAAAATATTTCTATCAGTGCTTGAGTTTAAAGCTATAAACGGCTTGACTTAATGATAAATTGTATGTGAGGGTGCAGCATCCAGTCTTGTTTTACTCCTTCAAGTTCTTGGACGTTTTGTACCAGACTTAATATTGTTAAAAAGAAATTCACGCTTTAATGTTTGGTTTTGGAAACAGTTTTGTTCAAATCATGGACATATAGTATAGAATTACTGAGTAGGTTTTGTCTTTGTAATTTCACATTCGTTTTTGTGGGTAATGCAAAGAAATGCTCCGTTAAAAGTAGCATTCCATGTTTGTTTTGCTTTGGGAAGTTCCTTGTCTTCTGTAAATACCAATTGAATAATTCAGACGGATGTACAAAGATGTACGCCAGGCCAATGCATTGCGTGACTGGTTGCAACGTTATATCTCCCCCAACTCTAAATGTACGCTTGTGGGGAATTTAGTAATTGTATTGATTAGATGGTTGAATTTTGAGAATGACTTGTCTATTTTAGGGGAGAGACCGAAGAGGTTTCGTGTGCTGAAGTCATGTACATGTGTGGTTGACCCTAGACACCACGTGGATCCATTCAGTGGCGCCGAGACTTGTAGTCATTCTCACGCCGCGTTGACGGGCTAGTCACGCCGAGCGTACCCCCTGCTCAGACACTTGGCGGCTAAACCCATGCTGCTACGTGTCTCGTTCGCACTACCATGACCCAGTCATTATACCTTAGGAGGTCATGCGAATTACAAAAGAATGATTGAAGAGATAGAATAGAATAATGCTCTAACATAGATTGGAAACGTTGATGAATACAAGGAAATCGATATAATTTTGACATGGAAGAGAGCGTAAAAACATTGATGAACGTGAAGGTTATAGCGAGACGGCCTTGTTGAGTCGATCGATACTGTCCCGTCCAACTCACTGCCAATCTTGCATGGAAATGCTTTTCCAACTTCAAGTTCTTCAAGTTATGAACATAGATTCATTATCAAATTTCTGTTTACTATTAATATGAACGATAGATGTGTTAAAATCACCTCATTATGTAACGATATACTTCATTTTTGTTTCTTTAGATTGTGTCACTACCACAAAATAATTGTGCAAATAGGCTTGCTTCGCAGCTTTGCCTACAAAAAATTGGGAGCATAATCTGTCTATAGTCTCTTCAACAAAATCAATACACCACATAAAAGAAGAATACGGAAAAAGATTTACGACTCTAATCTTGTATATAGTATCATTGAATCTAAAAATAAGTAAATTAGAAAATGATAACATTTGTACTAATAATAACATTTTCAAATTATGTTGTAAATAACTTGGCACAAACTCGGTATATTTCTGAAATCTCTTCGTCTCAAACAATGTATCTGTGGCATGAAAAGGTTTTTTATTTTGTAAACAAGATTGATCTTTTATGAAACTAAATCAATAGTTTTGTGCTAATCAATAACACAACTCATCTCCACATACTATGTCCTTATCATAACCCCCATAATAATAGAAATATCATATTATTGTTGTAATTTACAGTCATATTCTAATTTCTCATTTAAATATACTTTTTGATTTTTTTTTTTCAGCTTCGCTACACGGGATATCGGGATAGAGCACAAGAAGAGAGACAGATGAGATTTGTTAATAGCTGTAGAGAAGGACACGCACAACTGGTGAGTAACTTGAAATGAAACATAATTATATTATGCAAGATACTAGTCAAATATCGACAAAAAGACCAAATCAGAGTGAGTCTTATTTTGTAAGAAGCACACTATGAGATCTGTATCTTCTTTTTTATGAAGATAAGATGTTAAAGTCAACTAAATATTGACATACAATATTATTTTTGTGCAGAAAAGGTTTCTATACAAGGTAGTACTTTAAATTTATTTGTAGAAAGTGTTTTTTAACTTGTAATTTTACCATAATTTGTAGGGTAGAATGCAGATGATATATAGTTGCTCAATAATGTATTACTAAAATCATTCTGAACCTCTTGGAAAAAGCAGATTTGATTACGTGGTGTATATATCTTGTCACATTTTAATTTGAATGTTGCATATTGGCATATAAACACAGTTGCGTTTAGGGTCTTTTTAACTTAGTTTTAGGAGGAAGGTAAAATAGTTTAAAGATATTGCTTGCTTCCCATGGGGAGTAACTTTTCAATTCCTTTCGTTATCTCTATGAAAATATTCTCTTCTCATATCTGTTAATTCAATAAGGGACATTTAATTTTACAGCCGATATAATATTTAGCATTTCAGCTTTTTCTTCAGGAATAAATGAGATTGTTGCCATTCTTTTTCCACAAAATATCGAAAAAGCACCGTCTTTAATATTAAGCTGGTCTGCCGTCTTTGTCATCCAGACGGCAGCCGACAGTAATGCGTTAGAATAATTCTATGGGCAAGCAATGTCTGGCTTAAAGCTCTCCCTGAAGGGATTAATGTGGGTTGCCTTGAGGGATAAGATAGGTGCACTCATCACTTAATCCCTCTTTCCGCCGCATGAGACGTCGTATTCAAGAGCCCTTCTCTATCAAGGTAAACGGTGTGTTATCATTTTAACGGTATATTATGAAGTGGCCATAGGGGATATAGTAACTTATCTATAATTTGATATCGTTGGAATGTGGTAATATCTATTTCATGCACAATTTAGAGTTATTAATTTACAAATATTCGAATGGTTCGAGTCCAGAAGCAGGTCAATATGTTCAGTTATCGATATAGAATAAGGGAATGGTTTCAAATTTATTTTAAACATTTCATATACACGAGGTTGGCGAGAATTAGAAATGGCTGCCAGACGCGGAATGAAAATTCACAGCATTTTGGACGAAAGCATAATAGGCTTATTCGGTTTGAGCTTCACAATAATAGAATGCCCTGTGTTTCATGAAGGCATTGAATGTTCGTAATATCTTTGTACAATCGTCATCATGTAAGGGGATAATGCTTATAAACGATATCCAGCTGGAGATCCATGGCAATCCGAAGCTGAGCCGAACACGACGGGAGTAGCTGAGACATGGGTACCCAACGGTGTCTGATATGAGAGGCATCCTTCGCCCAACCATGCTGCCAGCCAGCTGATACAAACGTGCCGTGTACACCTTCAATCAAGCAACCCCTCACATACCCTTAGGGCACTCTTGGTATTAATTCTACCAATATGAAAACGTCTTTCACTCAAAAACAGTCCGAAAAGAGGATAATAATGAAAAATCACGTACCAATGGTTCAAGGTTCTTAAAGTGATTAAATTCCCGAGTCGTGAAGGACCTCCATTAGCCATATCCTGAGCGTCGCTTGAAGGCCTAGCCCGCCGGGGCAGTTGGACCACGCTCGTCCTTCTCTTCGCTAGTTGTACATGGGGAGAAGCGGCCTTGTTCCTGCTAGTGTTTACACAGTCAGGCTACAAAGAACAAATCCAAGCTTCTGCCTTTCACTTCAAAAGTGCCTTTTATTGTACCGACCTACTCAAGAAAAATTTGTTAATCTTGTATGACACGGGTCAGATGATGGATGTCGAGATTTAGAAGGGAAAATGAGAAATGATCACAAAGCGTTGTGACCAGATCACCATATACTTTCAAACCATAATAGTGATGTTCATTATTTACTTCTTTATTATTCAAAGTTAAGTTTGTGAGTCCATTCTTGGTCTGCCGCTTTCTAATTATTAGTAAACGAGTTGTAATTATTCCCACTTTTCCCCCAAAACAACTGAATAAGACTGGCAACCCGTCTTCTCAAGAAGTGTATTGCATTTGGTTATTATGAATGAAATTAACCAAGAAAACGATAGGGACATTAGCTAAAACTGATGAATTAAATGATGTGAAATGTTTACAGAAAATGATTATTCATTTTCTAATTGCCATTATTGTTATCATATTCCCTTTTCTTCATTTCAGTCATTTGTAGCAACGGGTACAAATCTCCATCTTCAGTTCTATCCTAACTCGTGGAGCGAGACGACTGACAGAAAACCAACCAAAGAATATGTCGACTTCGATAAAGAAATCGGAAAAGTAAGTAGAAACCAACTAGAGAGAAGAAATTACTATATGCTAAAAAATAGCTTCCTAACGTCCTTCATGTTAGTGGAACCCGGACGTATTAGCGTAATATAAAAAACTTACAAATCATTTCAATCATTCAAAAAAACATGATAAGAAAAAGAAAAAGAAACTCCTTTATGATAAAACCAATTACATTTAAGATTCACAATGTCAGTTATTCAAATATAGGCCTAAGACGAAAATACAAAGCCAGAAACAAACTCACAGTCACAGTCAAAACAAAATTACATATCGAATGTTACACCAAATATCATTGGAGTAGTTCATGAACTAATATGGGAGATTTTTACTCTTAATAAGCCTTCGAAGTATGATCATTCAGCTCCATTTGAAAGAAATTTCACAATCATGACAATGCATTAATGGAATCAATTGCATTACATAAAATGTGTATATTACTTAATCGCAAAAAACACGTACAAAAATTAGAAACTCTACACTCTACTCTAAATTGTTAATTAAAACAAAAAGTTGTAGACAATGTGTGAGAGTTACTCTCCCATTTTAGTAATAAGAAAACACACAAACATTGTAAAGCATTTTGTTTCGGCATAGAGTTCATCGATTTTCCCCTCTGATCAACAATAGTGATTGTTTGAGCTGAAAAGCGAAAAGCAAAACAACAATTATTACATCTAACTCGACGCAAAATACTACGATTTTAGATATTGAATAGAAAGAAAGTGCGAAGTAATTCGAAAGTATTCTGAAACATGGAGTAGTGATTATAATTCATACAGGGGAAATAAATTATGTAGGAGATTATTTAGAAATAAGCACTATAATTTGCAGAACGTATATTGAATACACTGTGTTCATTATGTTATATCGCTGTATTCTCCCCCTATTTTGTTTGATTGCATTATATAACTTTTTGAAAGAATTTCCTCTCTGTCCGCTTACTATTTTAATTCAAACGGGCGTTTGAATACGATAGCAACTACTTCTGAAAAATCAATTTAAGGCAATTACAATAACATTGTTAGTCTCCTATTGAAACGTGCGAACATGAACACGAAGTATTACGTAATCATAACTTGATTTCTATGAGACATACAATAGGGAATGGAAATTGGCCTTGTGTTGATTGTTCTTAAAATGTTGCGATCGTAATCTTTGTAAAAACGAAAACAGGATTCGTATAATGAAGGCAATTCAATAAGTTTTTTTTTTACGGATTACAATCCTTTTGCTCTTAAATCTGTCATTTAGATAATGAATCATTTCATAAATGTTGTGATGGATAAATTTGTTATTCTAATTCTGACGCAATTATAGACATACTAAATCCATTTAGCATAACTATTGGTACAATAGACCCCCACGCTAAGGCTAATCTAAAATGATTTGGCAGAAAGTTTTCATTTTTGCAATGAGTTTTTGTTGATGATGCATCGACTGGAATATGAATTAATGTTTTTCTATCGCCGTTGTCACGATATTGTACGTTTTTTGGCTGCTTTTCTCGACGCTTAAAGAGCGGTAAATCGCCCTTTCCGATATGATTTAGAAAAATGCGGTATAGACCACAAAAAAGGCTCATCCAAAATCTGACTATTTTGCTGTACATTGATTTATATTGTACCAATTTGCCAACAACCTTCGTTAAAGCTTACGTTTTGTTGTTGATACGAATCAACTACTGAGCGTTCTTAATCTCAAATGTATTATTACTCACTCTACATTTGACATTTGTCATGAAAATTGCTCGTTGTATAGCTAATTTGTATTTTGTTAACAAATGCTGTAAAAATTGTTATTTCAATCTAAAATTTCAGGAAATGTGTTGCAATCGAATTGTTTGATGAGCTTATTTATTTACATCAGAAACTGTAGTGAACACTCTAAGTCGGTTCAAGAGCAATTGTTATTGCTTGTCAACAACATGAGCATTATATTTGTATAAAATTATTTGCTCCAGAAAAGTTTCTCAAAATTTAAAACAAATCTTCATTATGTGAAAGTTTTGAAAGAACTGTGAAGGTTGCAAACCTTAGCGAATGCTTCTTTTCTTCCAAATGAAATGAAAACCAATGATTTTATTTTTGCATGAAGTTTTGCTGCGGTTGGAAATTAACAAATATTAAAAATCTTATCTTGTTTTGGTCAAGTTTTGAAACATTTGGGACAGGCTTCACGTGATCAGTTAAAAATAAAATACTATTATGACTCCTGACTAAGTGATAATGAATTCTTTTGAAAGGGCAAGTGTTCTTTTTGGAGAAAATTCTAGAAATGATTTCACTTGATTTGAACCCTATGTCGAAAAGAGTGATGAATAGAATAATAACCTGTATCTAAAAGACATGCGGTAATATTTCAAATTCCTGCTACGATAATAAAAGATTGTTTTAATTTTTGTATACGTATACGTATTATTGAAAACGTACTACCGAAATCATCTTCCTTTAGGTACACACTCACTTATTGTCCTCCATTGTTAAAGATAAACTTGAGTTCTGGTAAAAAAAGAAAATGAATTCTCACAGAATCTAACAAAAATTACACTGAATGTTCAAGAATACAAATAAATGTCATGTTCCAAACAATTTTGGAAGAAAATGTATACTGGCTGAGTAATGAGCATAGAAAGATAAGGAAATCAGGGTAGTACTAGCCCCGACACCATGTGTGTTGTCCCATATACATCTTTCTGTGTAAGTGATTGTTACTTTACCAAGACTCTGCCAAATTTATGATGATTTTGATGACTCCAGAACCTTGCATTACTCACCATTACTTACATGCTATATGATCAACTTTTCTGATCCATTCCACACCTTTTCTTTCACAATGCAATCGCATTACCAGAACTCAAGTTTATCTTTAACTTCAACAGAATACACACATCAAGAGGCTCACAATCATATAGGATCAACATAATTATGTTATTTCTTTCTGTCATCAATTATGGATTTAAATGATGATTTACACGTTTGGATACGCCTGCCGAGGTCATATGTAATTAAATTAAACCAATCTGTCTCCAAGTTTTCATACCTATTACTTTGTTATTAGATTGGAAATATTGTGAAGCTTCTCAGGTTCGCTGGACACCATGTTTGTCCGAAATGGTTCCACCTTTCTGTTAATTACGTGTCACGGACAATAACTCGACTCGGGAAATGATCTTGACCCGCTTACAATGACCCATAAACATGGTCACTTTAATAACACAAGCGGTCACTTTGGACGGACATGCTATTATTCTAGCCATAAAGACCATAATATCCTTATTGGGCATATTATAGGGAGATTTTATAGCTTCTTGTAAAGCCTATAGGTTATGGAGGCTGGGGATATACTGTGCCGAGACGTACAGCAGCATTGTGGCGCCATTTTGTACCATGGGATGTACGATATGTTTCTGTATGAAACGCTATAACGGGGGAGGTTTTAATAAGTACATGTACACCATAAGAAATCACAGATTATGAATTATAAGTGGTCAGTTTAATCTGTAAGTCCATTAGTAGTTTAGTACACTTCAATACCAACACCAAGGCAATTATTGTTCATGTCATAACATGGTTGTACTTCCAACTTGCATGTTACATGACCGTAATATCACGGGGCTTGTACTATGCAAGACATGGGTATTACGAAGAAATTTACAGGTATGCATGAAATAATAATTGATCGTTAAAACATAAAGTTCACGGTGAGAAGATGGAATTTAATTTAAAGCTAAAAATATCCCAGAGTACTATCAATCAATGGAATAGGAAAATACATGGATAAATAGCAAAACCTTACAAAACGCACCATTGTAAATCCTTTAATGGCGATTTCGGAATCTACTTGATACTAAATGATCAATCATAATTTTGCTACGAAAATTCATTACCTCCTTTTAGCAAAGAGAGAATATTATAGATTCAAGAAACAATAGGTAGGAAACATCGCAATATATTTTTTATTTTATTAAATAGATTTGTGAAAAGGTTAACGTCTAGCCGTAGGGGTAATTCCTGCAGATTGCGCATGAACGGTTTGGTGTTTTGAAAAGCGCAACAATAGCCTAAAACTCGAGGGCGGAAATGCATTTTGGTGATTTTCATGGAGGGGTAATTTTTCTGAAAGTGATCATGTTAATAGTGGCTGTCAATGAGACGGGCTATTAATCATTTTGGAAAGGTATTGTTGAACCTCTTACGACGGTTTGTATGTGTCGATGAACTCTCCTACCCTGCACTACCCGTCTTGAACATATCCTGTTTTGGGACCATTCATTCTAAACTTTGTGTGTGTTTTCTCTCTTTTCCCAATTCGTTCTCAATTTTCTTAATTCGCCTATTCTTTGATGAGATTTAAATTGCCCCTGCGAGAATTTAATACCGGAAAATGTGCTCTCTTTTCTATTATTTCCTTTTGTTTATCAGTCGTTTTATGACGTATTATGAACGGTAATTCACCGCTTTTTACACCGATATGACCCCATGTGCTAACATGACAACAACCCAACAAAGAACTCCTTAGTACATTGTATTCTAAGATGTGACGTTGCAACTTTGTTTTTTCTTTTAATGGCCATGACCCTTCACCAAGATTCTTGTTACTTCACAAATATTCGTAAAGATGTTGATGATTAATCACATTATTTCATATTTTTGTAAACATACGATAGTTGCCGTCCTGTTTCTTCTCACTTATTGTCACTAATTTAATTTGCCTCCGTTTGAAAAGAATTTCATATGGTATGGTCAACTGAAAGTAAACGAAAATCTAGTACAAATATTGAAACATAGATTTCCCCCAATATATATCTGTATCTAAACATACTAACGTACATTATAAGTCAATGAATTTAAAAGATCAATTGAGTTACATCCTAAACGTAGATCCTCTTCCTTTATAAATGATTTGTTTCCGTGTAGTGAATATGAGTAAGGGAATTAAGCAAAGCGCATTCATGCGAGATATATTTTCTCCTCTTTGACACTTTGCTATTATTCTTGGTCTGTATCGGTCTTCACGGAGTCGTGCATAAAGCACGCACACTCCTACCCACCATGCTGGTAAATTAACCATTGTTCGTTTCTCCACGGAATCGTGTTTTTCCCCTTTTATTTTATAAGCGGCTGAGCCTGAGCGGAAGTTCGGCTTGTAATCAATTGAAATAAATGGGTATTCATTTGTGATTGAGTTGTGAATAGGGGTAGAAGCTATTTGTACAATCGTATTATCCACTGCTGGATGATGTAGTTGAGTTGGACTGGGCTTCTCCTTGTGAAGGCAATGTCGTGATTATTTACGGTAGGAGAGGGGATACCAACCAGCGGACATTGACATCACGTCTAGCCGGAAGTCAACCAGCAGGGTTTCGTAGAAAGCCGTGTAGAATCGTCTGCCGTATGATGACGGACGCTACTCCGCCCGCCCGCCCCCGCAGACTGGTACCAGACTACCAACATGGTGGTATCTATAACCCCATAGAAGGAGCCTCTACTAAATGAATACCAGCATGCAGTGCATGTAATAGAATTATTAACTCACAACTTTCATAGAAATGTGAAATACGACCTTCTGTTTCTCGGCATGAAGCCATTACACTTTTCTTCCAAACATGTACACGCAGGCGGCCTGTAGTGGCGTTGATTATAAGCTTCAGGTTTAACTGCATTTTTAGAATGATTTACGGTATTCTAAGCTTTTTGTCAGGTAGGGGATTTCATATATTTTACATGGATTAGTCTCGATATACTTGGTAGAAAAGTGAAGCTAAATTTAGCCCATACTTTAGATACATTCTTCTTTGACTCTCTCCATCTTTGGATTTCTAGTCCTGCAATCTATCATTTTACCTCCGCTTTAGAAATGATATCATAAAAGACATGGCGATGAATAAAAGGGTATGATTATTTGTTATTGTCTCCTCATAAGAGAAAACGACTCGCTTGGCCATTAGTGAAAGCCTCTTACAACGACGACCAATGCGTCATATTTCTCGGAAACGATACACTGCTAAACGGTGAGAGAGGGCGTTAGTCTCTTTCTGCCTCTTTTCATCACAATACGCGGTACAATAATTGACCTTTATTGGTAGGGGCTAAATCATATTCAGTTAGGAGCAATAATTGTCTTTTAATTAACCTTTCATCACATAGAGACAATGCATGTAATCATGGGATTGGTGTCCAAAACATCACGATTACTATACATCAGGTGAATTGGTGGTATTGGTGCGAAATTCGTACTTATTAATTTGTCTAAATAGGGATTAAATATTAATTTTTCAGATGAACCGAATTTTACTAAAGAAATCGACCCTTTTATTGTCCTTAACTGTGAAGAATGGTATTCAAAAGTGTTTTTCTGTCTCGCTTTGATACAATTTCATGTTTAATTGAAACGATTGGAAAGTAGGTAACCCAAACAAAATACTTCATTTGACGTTAATTGATTTTTTTTTGACCAGAATAATGTTTTTTAATGACAGCATTAACAAATTTAGATGTTACAAAAAATAGTGCTTGTAGCAGTTTCAACTTTATTTATATATAAGCACTTTGTATGTGAATACAAACCGTTGGTTGGTACGTTTAATTAGATTTGAACTATAATGTCGATCGGAATAGATGCTTTGCCTTTTCAATCATGGAACCACAATGAGATTTCCAGTTATATAAGACAACTCATAGGACATGATGTGCAAAGTGTTCTTTGAATTCGCCATTTCCATTACTAGGTTCACTAGTACAGCTACCTCAATGATTGTAAACGTCAAATCAAATTGAACAATTGCATTTTCCTCTAAATTAATCACGATATACATTTATTATATAGGATCTCGCAACTTACACGTCTCTTACCGTGTATGTGAAATGTTTCATGCTTTGATATAGAATTTTTTCAGAGTGCTACCAAAGTAATGTACATGACTGTATCTAACTTAAAAAACAGAGAAGAATCAAGAACTCAGCAGATAATATCGCTTTGAAATTCACGACTATACACAAAACTTTTCCCAAGCACTTCCCAATATGTGTTATTGTTGATTCTTCTTTAATAGAAATACCTTTTTTCTCTTTATTTTTACGTTGTATTTCATTATCAATGTTTATTTGAGACAAAAGCATTCAATCAAAAACGCGTGGAAACAGTGGTAATAAGGTATATCCACTCACTGAACGACAGGTGGGCTATTAATCAAGATATGTCGACGGAACACGAACGTGCTCATGAATAATAATCAATAACTCAAGTTAAACGCAATTCTAATTAGTAATTATACTATTGTGCTCCACCATTTCCGTCAAATTACCACCGACACATGAACACATAGAAATAATGAATAAATTAATTTCACGGTTCATTGCCAGTCGACGCCTCATGTGCGTGTGTATGTGTAATGCAATTTAGGTGAAAGCTAGAAACTCTCGCCCTTGATTTCGTTCTGAATCACGATGTCTAAACGTGGTTACTGGGCGAAATTCGTAAGATCTCATTCTTTTGGTCATTCGATGAAACGCGATCGGGAGGTTTTCATTATTTTGATGACAGGAAGGAAAAAATAAGTTCAGATTTTGATGAAAAGTCAGCATTATACCTCATTTACTATTGACAGTTAAATTTTCTATTTAGATATTAAAATATCAGGGAAAAAGCAAAACATTCCATATGCTTTCACTCTTTTAAAACAGAAGCATAATGATTTAAAAGGCGAGAAATATACTTCATTATAATTGTATTCATAATTCAAATTTTACTGTAAAATTACTGCAGGAATGATCATTGGAGAGATGTTCAAAAGAAATTAGTGTTAAAAACTTAAAACGATCGACACATTTTAAAGCATGTATCTAAAAGGAAGAGTAGGAAATGATGCCCTTTCTCATCTGAAAACTTTTACCATTTCAACGTAAAATTTAGCTAGTATTTATCTACTTGTTGTACGTATAGATAAGATAATAACCTTGTATTGATCGACGAGATCATTCCAAACCTTAGTTGATAGAGCATGAAACAGCCTTAGCCCGAAGCAGCAACAACGATTGCTACTATCAAGCCCAGCGGAGCCAACCCACCAAAGTCGATTGGAGATTATGCTCGTGCAATACTCAAGCGAATACTCCATCAGGCATCACATTGCAACTTCTGAGCCGCCCCATTTTTACCTACCCCAGATAAAGAGGTGTATAGTGTTTTATTTACCCAAGATAAATAACAAATGAGGAATAGAATAAAATTGAATGAAATCAGTTTGAATAGAATAATTCCAAGGTTGTTGAGTTGTTTGATAATATGCATGATCAAATCTATAAACACCGTAGTAAGGTCATTGTATTTAAAACTGTGTCAATACATCTCTCATAAATGATCCAAAGACTGCATCATCTGTCATGTGTGATAGGTGTTTGTATAGCCATTATTACGAACTACACCGGATACCGTATATTTCGAAATATCCATTTCGTGTAAAGATTGGGAGAACATCATTGTGAAGAGGAGTCGGGGGACAAGCAGTTTTTCATATTCAGTTTTTACTCTTATTTACACCGAGTATATTTCATTTGATGTTGATTTAACATGTTTTGACCTTCAGTTTATTAGGTGGGAGGATGGTTATGTCGAAAACCAATAATGAAACAGATTAGTAAACTTGTTAGAATTGTGAAATTATGGCATTATGGCATGTGGCCTATAGAGAGAGAGAGAGAGAGAGAGAGAGAGAGAAAGACGAATCATGCGTAGAAACAATCTTTGTTTTGAAAAGTGGAATGAAATAAGTATGATCATTCGATCAGTCTATTGATATTGGTGTGATGAAAGTTTCAAGGGGACATCATGTTATTCATGAATCATGATTCATCTCAACATACCTACACCATTACACCGCTCACAATATTAAACATATATTTAATACTTGGATATACACATCAGAAGGTTACATTATTATAGAAAATCAGACCTTTTTGTTGTTGTAAATCTAACACGCCTTAAACTCATGGTTTAATGTCGTTTCATCCTCTGATTTGTTTTAAGTCGACGAAAAGAATGATTTGCATGATGTCGCTTTTACCTTGTACATAAATGGCGTCCGTTATCGTCGTAATTTCTGAATTAAAATGACGCATTTCAAGATTCATAGGATTTCGAATATTCAGTATACATTGAGCAACACATTAAGACAATGTACCGTGATATATTTCGGCTGCACATAAAATTTAGTCATTTGCAGAATAACTTACGCTTTTCTTGATGGTTTCGAAAATTTTGTCAGAACATGATTCTAAAGTTTCCTATAAAAAGCCATAAGATATGGCTATGGTTTTCTTTTGCATACACGTCTGATATTCATGCGCACGTTTAGATTTGATAACTACGAGTGATAAGGTCTTGCCGTGATGGTGATGAATATATTTGTATAATTATATAAATTCTATATTCATGTAGTATCAGTTTGATGATGTGAATCAAATTTGTATTTTCTTTTTTCTTCTTCTGCAGGTCTGCCTAAAGTCACAGTTCATCTTGAATGGAGTATGTGTAATATGGAGGGGTTATATTGATCTCAACAGGCTGGACGGAGTCGGTCATGTCGAGTTTGATTCTCAAAGAGCCAAGGTAAGGCACATGACACATATCATACAGCCTCCGTACATTTATACAAGTTACCTCAATGTTTGAACAGTAAGCAATACGCATTTTGCCCTCCCTACCGTTTTCTCAATCAAAGTAAAAAGAAAATTCCGGGGAGGGTACATACGAAATGACATCATTTTTGTTGGGAAGCACCTCGGTTGATGATTCGTATGAGAATGATTGCATATAGTTTGGCTACAGGATATAATTTTGATGAAGGCGCACTTATGAAAATGCAGATTCATACTACTGCCTTGGAGATAGCTCACATGATGTATGTAATAAAGAGACCTCTCATGTGATTTTTGAAAGAATCTTGTAACAATTTGAATGAATCATCAGATAATGACATTTAAAGGGAACAGACCACAAAAAGTATTTAGATTTTGGTTTCTTTAGCGAGAACTTTTCGCTTGACATCCTCTTCTTTTAGTATGTTTTTTAAATGGAGCTTCTGAGGAAAGTGATAAACTAACGATGATGAGAACACAAAGAGATTGAAGGAATAGATATTCATTGGTGAACTTTACGTAATGGGATTAAATTAAGTATGATATTCACCCTTCCATTACATCATAGGGATACGATTAGGATAGCATAATTAAGGAGTATTATCGTCATTGCAGTTGATCACTGTGATGAGATAAGCCCCATGACCTTTGGGTAATGACAGTTTCTGGTTAACCGACCTCATGTTTTTTCTGGTCAAAAACAGGAAGAAGATGAAATATACCGGGCCACGATGGAACAGCAAAACAGGAGACTTCGAGAGTTTGAGGAGAGAACGATGTTACATCGAAAAGAGTTTGAACAACAAGTTGGCAGAGAGGTGAGCACGTGAGAATGTCCCAAGAAATATCACTTTGCAATGCCATAGAATATTCCTTGTGCTTGTTATCGGACTTTGTCATAGGAAACCTACATGGACATAGCGCGACCGAGAGAGTGGGTCTGTAGATGTCTACCTTTGAACGCGCGACTGCTACGAAGTGTCTTCTGAAATGTTTGTATTTTTGATAAGTTTCTCGTCCAGATGTTGTGATTTTATTTCGCGTTTTCAGAAGAGTGCCAGGGGGAATTGGAGTGTTGGATCCTTTTTTTTAAACTGAAAGAACTATTTTTGCCAGTGTATTTATGTATATTTATAGATAAAACATCTTTGTATTGTCTTGATGGTTGATGTATATAAAGGGATAATTTATTTAAGTTACAAAATGATGTGTGAACAAAGTGAAGTAAACTGTTATTCGTTTTATGTAGGAATTAAGAGGTAGATTAGAAAATATGATTTTGTTTTGTGTAGTGAAACCAACAATGAAGTGGCGATATTGCAAAATTGGTTGGATTTTAGAGTTATTTTTTTTGGCAATATGTAGATTTTTTTTGCATGATGTATGGAGTAGAAACTCACAAAGTAAATTGATCCGATGCTACGAACCTAAAACGTATTTCGAATAGATTAGAAATGAATAGATGAATTTGTGGATGATTTCACAGTAGTATGATTAATTTTGATTATGTACATATTTTGTACATTGTAGAATATTGATGAAGAAAAAAAAAATACAGTGATTTTTTTTCATTCCTTTGATACTTCATTATATTCTATAACTTTTTACTTTCAATTTCTTCTGGAAGAAATTTCAACGTTATTTTTATTATGCTTGTACTGACTACATCGAATGTATATATTTGAAACTCTCATTGTGTTCTTTTTATGCTGATATGAAGATGTATTTAATTTTGTGTATATCTCACCAAGGAGTTGGACTTAGTGTTATTCGAGAGAGAATTGAAGAAAAGATATTGTGACGACGTGTTTGGCATGCAAGAAACACCCATTTTTTAAATTTATATTACCGCTCTCTAAACCTCGTAATCTTAATGAAAAAGAAATTTAATTCATTCTGAGTCCTTCCAATGTGTGCAAGCAACGAAAATTCAATAATTTCTTCTGCTTCACATGGATTTACAGAACAGTGTTTTCCTTATCTGAAATATGTATTTGTAATTATAAAAAAACCCAAACGATAGGATATATGGCTACTCTATACTCATGACACAATAATATTATTAGTGATGATATGAAACTGTTTTCAAAAGCTTCATTCGAATATGAAAGTTATTTTATGTCTTATTATTGAAAATGGAAATAAAATGAAAAGCTGAAATCTCCGCTGTTAAAGGTTCATTTCCCGCTTGTATCTAGTGAAATAGCGCAACATATTCCGTTAGCGTGAAATAAACTGTGGATGGGGGAGGGAGAGGGGGAGGGGGTGGGTCTCCTTTGAATATGTGTATGGCATTGGTGCTGGAAATGAAAAATTCTGATTGAAATAGGATTTGTAACCGATTTTTCCTTATTCAAAGGGAAAATCATTAAAATGTCAATTGTTAGTCTTCCCATTTTTTGTGTATTTTTTCATCGTGATGAAAGCGAAGTATGTGTGTAATAAATTATGTACAAACTACATTTCTTTTCATAACATGAAAATGTGTGTAATCTTTATTATTTGCGTCAGTAATAATTTTATCTTTAATAGGCCTACCGGGAAAACATAGCAAACTATTCGAAGATGAACGACATATATTAAGTTATTACTATGTTTTTACGAAAAGATTTTGAAAAAGACAATGTATTAATAACATTGATTAAAAACAGATTATTATCATAGGTTGACCATACTTTTCATTTTCCGTAATAACGAACTATAAATGAAATAGCTATCTGGTTTACTAAATGCATGTTTTGCTCAAACATTAAGGTAAATTAAGAATTTGGATTGGGAAACGTTTTTTTGACCAATATTGGTTACATAATGTATACCTAATTACCTATGCCTTTATGATGGAGCGGGTTGTGTGTTTTGAATTCATATCCTAAATTATTTCATCTTTAGATAACTTTTGATTTAATTTGAATAATAGGCTATTCACAGTAATGATATTTGCCTCATAATAATGCAACTTTATTTATTTATTTCTATCTATTTATTTCTAATATCTTGTAAGTTTGTTGCTTAAAATTTACTTCATGAAAATATTTGACACGGCTTACGAAAGAAAACCAAACGCTATTTCAGAGGAAAGATGAATCAATATTTTATCGCATATTTTCTTATTCCTATTTAGAACAAAAATATAATCTTATAATTTAATTTATAACAGAAGTGGGTATCTCAATAATTCAAAAAATAAAATTTGACCACTAATTCCACCGAATACTTCACTTATTATTCAATGATAAGCTTTCCTAATGGAGTTAGAAGAATTTGATTGATTTGGCTAACGAGGAAATTAACTCGGTTGCTAAAATACATGTAATATAGAGTCTCAATTGGATATTTCGATGGCTGTATGTGAATGAACATCTAGGAAATATGGCTTATCAGTACTACATTATTGTAATTTTTATAATTAGAAGATATGAGAAGTATACGATATAAGTTTAGGAAGGGCTATCAATATCACGTCTATAATTTTTTTTTAACGGGTTTTCATAATGACTTTTATTTTCAGATGTAGCACATGAGTATTTTACTTTAACATATCCTATAATGAAACATGTTTATTTCCCTTTACAAATTAGTAGATTATTTCATTAATATCAATTTAGCGATTGAATCCGTGTGCGCGTGTGGGTGTGTGAGATGTGCGTAAGGGATGTTGGTGTGTTTTCCTAGATTCAAAACCCAGACGGAGGTCGGTCATTTAATTCCTGTTCGAGTAAAAGACAAGATATGTGGAATCCTTCTCACTGAGAAAATGGTACTTTTAAATGGATATGATCTCCTTCCAGGTTCTCTGTAGTTTTTCAATTTTTTAATATTTTATATCGTGTATATCTCTATCAGAGAGCTTATCTTTACAACATATATTTTAAAAAATACTTTGACGAATAGACAGCTATCAGGACGTGACCAAATATTAGTCCAACATGTTATGCCGACCAAGCGAGCCAATAATGTTTCTTTAAAGTAAATGGAAATGACTGCGACAAGTTTCGCGAAGTTATTTATATATTCTTTTGCCCAAATTTATTGAAGAAAAAAAATAGGAGGAAAAGCCCATTTTTAAATTAAACAATTATGATTTCTCGTTAAACCTGAAATATAAGAAGACAGTAAGTTTGAACATGGAACCAAACTCTAGTAACTTTGATTACATTTATTTTAATCATAAAGAACGAAATACGCATTATGATGATATGTTTGGACAGAACAAAACTTCTGTGCAAATATGAAAATAACTAAACCATAACCCTCTAAGTTTTGTTCGGCAGTGTAAATAATTACCGGGTACCGCTTTCTGCTTGTTAAAATGACACGATAATAGAGAACTAAGAAAAAAATATTTAATGAAAGGTAGGAAAAGAGTATAGAAACGGAATCCATATTCTTAAAAATGCAACGGTGATTCCATTCCTCGATTTAAAAAAAATTCTCGAATAAACTTCCTGATGAAAATCTCAATTATTTTGGGGGTAAATAACATTTTTACTTCATGTGTAGTGTCTAGAGAAGTGCGTTCATTAGAACAACATTTATAGCAGAACAAAGGCAATTTAAGAAAATTGTAATAATCATGCGGACAAGATACTTCGAAATTTAAGAGATAACAGTTGTTTGGCGCTCCTCCTGGGTTTAATAAATAACAAAACTAGGTGAACTCTCACAAGTTAAATCTTCACTCTGTGGTGGTCGGCTGTTCATCTTAGAGCTGATAAAAGATCCAAGTCCAGCCTTGACATGAATAACAAGGAATCTATAAGAAGATCAGCATTCCTTAAAGACCGCATTTGATTTGGGCATACTCTTGTGGTTGCTTTTCTTTCGGATCTGTGGTCTCCTTTGACAATTTCACTTGAGATTTCCAGGTAGTAGCACAGAGAACCTTTGTGGGTGCCCGGCATGAGTAATAGTACTGGAATGGCTTTGTAGGTTTGGCTCTATAAGGGTTCCTATGGTTAGGTTTTGTCCTAAAATAGTATTATAAAAACCTGACATATTTAGTATAATTATGGCAAATTCCTGAAACATGATGCATGGGAAAGTGTCTGGCCTGCTCGCAATAACAACGAACAGGTATACACGGATAATCTATAATCATAGTCGTATTTATTTGATCAAATTTGGTTTCCCAGTCACGCATTTAGCCAGGTTTAGATTGTTGGTACATTGTAATTCAAACGGTAAATAAGGTTTCAAATATTTTTTTTAATCTTTAGACAGATAGGCCACATCATCAGCATTTACAAGAAAACAAATAAAAATGTTAAATTGCCTTTTGCCGGCAATATTAATGTAGACTATAAGGAGTCTTCAACATTTTAGATAACGGATTCTACCAGTAAAAAATGCTTGAAGTAGGTTAAAATGTAGGCTAGAGAGGGACAAAGGGATAAACTTAGCTCTCTTGGACCAAAGTGAGCCTGAAATTTTATTTTATAGGCCAGTCACCAAAATATTAGTTTTATCCACCGCATTATTAATATCTATAACGTGATAACTTTTTGAGGATAGTAAAATTGACTTTTCATAAGATATATTCTAGTAGATGATAATACAAATAATGTAGGGCATTACCAAAAGTGTGTCGGGTTATGTATGTATAATTCCATCGGCATAAAAAAAAAAAAAAAAATTTGACTGTCAGAATGCAGACGTTTCGGTCAAAACAATGACGAAAGTCATATGTATCTTTAATGCATTGCTTTGTGTATATACTTGAGTGTGATACGTGATCAGTATCTAAAGCTTGAGGAATACTGGTAATATTATCGACATGCGATTTTGCAATATTAATTGTTAACTTCGAATGCGCTTTGAACGCGTATGCTTTTGAATGTGACATCTGATTGTTGAATTTATGAATTATTTTATCGACATTGTTGTGGAAAGATAATGTTTGAAACAGGTTTAATCAACTCTTGTTTTGTTTTATAAAAAAGTGTCGTCGTTTTTTTAAATACACGTACAAAGACAATATGATTGCTCTCCATTTAGCACAGAATGTACTTATCTTCATTTCCCTTAGCCGATCACATTAAAAAAAAAAGTAAATTACAATTCGAAAAAAAATTGTTTATTATAGGTATTCATGGGATTTGAATTTGATACATAAACCTGATTAATGCAGTTTTCTGGTGTCACGCAATCGGTATCTTGATTTAGCAATCAATAAAGAAAGGTATTTGACTTTTATACTTTTCACGCGTCCACATCGTATGTGCTCTACAATGCACTGGCCGCCTTGCTCCCATACTTATCCCATGGGACCACTTATACACAGTCGCTAATACCTCCTGAACAATGCCAATTGCCACACAGTCAGAATGCTTTCGATTTCTCCAAATGATTGGTATGCTAGACTTGTAGGGGGAAAGGAGAATAAAAGATTTTTTCCACCACAACGCCTTTCGAATTTCTTTGTCCCTACTAGAAAAAATAATAGCTTAAAGGTTAGGAATTTGTCTTTTTGAGATTCAACTGTTCTGCTGGGGTTTTTTTTTCTTAATAAAAGCTGGGGGATTGTAAAGAAACTGTTCATATGAATTGTAAATATGCTTCCACGATGGATGTAATGAATGCATCCTTAAAAGATTATCAAGTCTTAGCTGGCGCCACACTCTTGACTATAGATTTATAACATGACCATATTTAAGACATGGACAAACTAGATATAAAAAAAAATGTCAAACATGAAATATGTCTGTCACAATGGTCCTTTTATATATTATCCATCATGAGCTGTTGCAATAATATTTGTTAAAAATATTTTTGGGGTTTAAGTTTGATAGAGAGTATTCAAGGGAATGAAAAATGTGAGGGGTAGATAACTCCGCCCATGACGTCCAATGTCCACCATTTTGATCTCAACTGACCACCACCTAGTCTCGCCTTCATTATTGACAGAGACAAGGCATCCCTCGGATTCCCTCCTCTCTGGTATCGTTCTTGTCTTAGTGTTTCATGAGGGGACTCTTTAAGAGGGGCACACGTACTCGGTAAGGGAGGCTGAACCATCGAGTGCACTTTCCTAAGAGGTGCACGTGGATGTAATGGTGGTATTCATGGTTCCATTCGTTGCAACCTGTCTCAATCTCGGTCGTTCACCCTTTATGTTGTCAGTTACCATTGAGAGGAGCGCTTTGGTAGTACCGGCTGCCTGCGGCCTAGAGCGGGCTACAAGGGAAGCAGCTGATGGCCTTACGCCTTAACGTTGGAGTTGTGCTCTTGTCATGGTTCATTGGACCATGAAGTCCTCGGGCAAAAAGAAGATGAACAATACATATTTATTTAAAGTTTCTTTGTGGACGGGTTATCTCTGGCCAAAAAATGTAGAACAAATTAACCGGTACTTCACTCAGTTGTTTATTCTTGTACCCCTATACGCAGAGATTAAGACAATGTTTTAAAAAAATATTAAAAGATGATATCTGTTGGACGGGTAAGGAGGAGAAAAATCAATAAGCATTAAGCATTATGTTCAAAG